CCCCCTGGCCCGACGGCGGCGGCGGCGGACGCCTGGCGAGGCTTGCGCTCGATCCAAGGCGGCGGCGAAGCCTCAGCTGAATCCGGCGGCGGCGTCCCTTCCTGCCCTTTTCCTGCCGCCGCCTCGGCCGCTCACCTCTTCCCGCCAATCTCGCCTCTCTTTCGATACTACACCTCCCTCTAGCGACCGCCGGGAAGGGCCGCGAGGAGCTGCTGGGCAGACGAGCCCCTCTGCCCGGCCCCCGTCGGTCTCCCTTTGCCCCCCCGCCCCTCCTTTTTTGTAAGCCCTTCTTGAATCCTGGCCCTCTCGCCCCACGGTGGCCGTGGCGGGGCTGGTGCTAAGGAAAGGCGCTACACATTCCGGGCGCTTCCTTGACGCCCCCCCCCCGCCCTTGTTCCCAGGACGTGTGGATTCGTGAACAAGGATAGCTTTTCCGCGATGGTCGTCGGAAGCCAAACAGCTGGGCGGGGCAACACATGCACGGGAGAGGGATGCTTAAAGGACGGCGCTAGGGAGCCGTAGGGAATTTGCGTGTCGTTACAAAGGAACGCCCCGTCCCGTCCTCCCACTTCAGGGAGTTTCCCCTTTTGACCACGTATTGCAAACACCGGCTTGCAGCCGAAAACGGCTCGGGCGGGAAGGAGGCTCCCGGGGCCGCAGCTCTCGGCCCCCCCACGGGGTTGCCCTCCCCCAGGTGGTGGGAGGGAAAGCGCCCCACCCCGGGCGATTCCATCCGCCCTTCGCCGCGTTCCATTCAGTGGCGTCATAATTGACACGCGACCTCGTGCAGTTCCACCCAGCCAGTCTCCAGCCGGAAACACGGGCGGGGCGGGGAGAGAGAGGGAGGGGATAAAAAAAAAGGAATGAAACGTTGTTTCGAAACTCTCGCGAGAGAGAGAGAGAGCGAGCGAGCGTGCAGCGTATTTTGGGGAGAAGATGGGAAGGAGGAGTTAGGAATGCTGGCGGGCGCAGGGAAGGTGGTCTTGCGCAATTCACGGCGCCGTCCTCGGTCAAAATAAGAAATACGCTGGGTTTCTATAAATGGACAGTTTTTACGTATGAAGATAGTCATGTTTTTTTAATGCGGGATGTTTTCCTATAGAGAGATTATATAATTTTTGATAGGCATCAAGTACCGTGCGCTAAGGGCGCAATGTTGCACGCATTGACTTGAGAGTCGCGCAAAGGGGTGGAGGTGTAACGTGGCGATCTTCTGCATATTTTTCTCAGGAGTAAGCTTCTTTGAACCTACAGGTTCCTGGTTAAGACAGGTAGAGGACTGCATTGGATGGCTGCAAATTGTCTGCAGTCTAAGGGTTTGCTTACCCGGGCTCGTTTGGTGCGGGATAAAGAGGGTCTCTAACGGTCAGGTAGAGGTCTGGTATATGTCTTGTAGTCCTTGCATCCAAATGGCAAACTCACCTTAAGTGATCCTATTTGGTCCGTCTGCCTGTTGAGAACAACAGCACCCCCCCTTCTCATTTCCAAGAGGAAGTTTTCAGTTATTTTCTCAAAGTGATGCAGCGCATGAGCACATCTCTAATGGGTTAAAAAAATCATTTTGCTCCTCTGTAGAATTGTCACTACTCAGTGGATTTAGGCGGGTTCTCCACCAAACTTCAAAAAAGTACCAGCACAAAAATTCCCCTCCTGTCTCCTTCTGTGAGGAAATTTCCAATATTTTAACTTTTTTTCTATGTGGTGCAATGCATCAGTGCTGCCCTGATACATTTAAAAACAAACAGCAGAATAAATGTTTAACTTACCAATATTGTGAAGCAGCTACGGTCACTTTTTATCAGCCGTTTTAAAAGTACAAGTGATGGAGAGTCCTTTTGGTTGTAATTAATCTTTCCTGACAGTACCAACAGTCACAAACAAAACAAAAATGATGCCCCTCCACTCAAAGCAGAACACAGAACAACCATTTAAAAACAGTAGATGAAAATTATATATGAGAGCCACTGCTGGTCTGAGATGAGACACTGAAATGTATGCGCCTTAATCAAAAGTAATGTTAGTGCCACTATTTCAATGGATCTATTGTAGTTGGAATAAACATTGTTTCCATTAAAAGTTTGGGGGAAAAATGCCGTTTTAGACCAGTGGTTCTTAACCTTTTTGAAAGAAACGCCCCCTTGAGCCATTGAGGAAGTTATCATAGCCCCCCTCCCCGCAGTGATGATATCAATGTTAGTGCCACTATTTCAATGGATCTATTGTAGTTGGAATAAACATTGTTTCCATTAAAAGTTTGGGGGGGAAAATGCCGTTTTGGACTATAGATCTTGGATGTGCCCCTCCCCTGCTGCCAGCATGTGAGAGACAGATTCATGAATCAGACATTGCAGTGGTGCCTTGAGTTGCCAACTTAATTTGTTCCGGATGATGATTGTAACTCATGTTGGTCATAACGCAAAGCACCATTTCCCATAGGAATACATTGAAAAGTGATTAATCTGTTCCGGCCATTTTATGGTTGTATCTCAAGGCATTGGTTGTATCTCAGAGCATTAGTTCTGATAGGAACTAATGCAAAAGCGGTTAATCCTTCCACTGGGGGAGACTTTTGTTTTAAACCTAAGATGACCTCTAAGGTCCGGTTAATCCTTCCACTGGGGGAGACTTTTTTTAAGATGACCTCTAAGGTTAAAAAAAAAGGGCAGGAAAGGAGGGAGGGACGGAACAATGGGGTAAAAAGGCCTTTTTTTCTCTTGTACTGTATCTCAAAGCTCTGGGTGTGAGTCAAAGCAAAATGTTGCGACCGGAGTTGGTTGTAACTCAAATTGGTTGCAAATCAAGATGGTTGTAAGTCGAGGCATCACTGTGGATAGGGTTTATCTCTTTAAGAGGCAGGCTTTCATGGCAACTCCCTTTCCTTTGCGAGTGAGTAGTCAGGATTTCTGCTTAGCAGAGAAGAATAAATAGACAAAGAAGGGAAGCTGCCTAAATTGCTGTTGCTTGCAACTAACTAGTCTGAGAATGTGTCCTTGGTCAGTGATAAGGAACCTGGGAGTCTAAGCAGCTGGAACTGGGAGGAATGAGGTCTGCACACCCTCCTTTCCCCCTCCTGCTCCTGTCCTTTGCCTCCTCTTACTCATCTTGAAGGTTATAAAAGTATATTCTGTAATGAGCATGGCGTGCTTTTCCTTCGCATGTTTCTGCGAGTGAAGTTGTGACTACTTGCTTTCAGCTGGAAATAAACATCTATTGGATCTCTCTATCTCTGGCTGATTGATTAATGCATTAGGGACAGGCAAAAAGCCAGGAAATAGTCATGACACCCTTCAGAGAGATGCTGTACAGTGGACCCTCGACTCACGGAATTAATCCGTATTGGAACAGTGGCCGCAGGTCGAAAATTCCGTAAGTTGAGGGTCCATTTCCCATAGGGATGCATTGAAAACCATTTAATTCGTTCCAGCCAAAGAAAAAAAAATCCGGGGCTTCCAAAGCTGCACCCGCTGCCCTCTGCCTTCTGTCCCCACTGTCCTCTGCCTCCCATCCCCACGGGGACAGGAGGCAGAGGGCACCGGAGACAAGAGACAAGAGGCCAGTGAGTCCAGCTTTCTAAGCCCCAAAAGCCCAAAGCTGACAGCGGGTGCAGAACGGCTTTTGGCTTGCAGCTTTGGACGCTGGAAAGCCGACAGCCGCTCTGTGCCCACTATCAGTTTTTAATGTTGTCTTTTAATGATGTCAGCTGCCTCAGATTTTTTTAAAAGGAGAAAGGTAGTGTCAAAATATTTTAAACACAAGCAGAGAATTTTAGATTCACGACAATTCTCCCAAAGCAACAGCAGCCACTGTAAAATTCCAAAAAAAGTTACTTCTGACATTTATTACTAACTGTGGTATCCAGCTGCTACCTGAGAATTGTTCTAATTAGTCATTCTTGATCCTGCGCCCAGCACTCAAATAAGACACATCAAGTTAACAACCTCCTTCCGTACTGCAGGTGGTTGTAAGCTGTCTGTCTAAACAGTTGAAATGGCCTGCAGCATTGATTGCACATTTGTTACCATCTATGCGTTAAGTCATAGTAAAGCGAAAGGGAGTTATTTTTAGTGATAAAAAATAAAGAGCCCATGTTATGAAGTTTGCCATTTTACATTGCCTCCCTAGTTGAATCATTCTGTTTAAATATATGATTGAATTTCTGCATGTCCTTTTCCCTCTCCTTTTCTATTTACACTATACTCTCTGAAATGGAATGTGCCTATGTGAGGGTTCAAGATTGACCTCAGGCTGATCGGACACAAATACAGGATGCTCAATTTTTTTGAAAAACAGAACTGGGATTTATTGGCACATCAAATAAAGAATTATCAACATTAAACTTGTCTTTGTTCTTTTCTCTCGTTGCCAACGGGTCAAACAAGGGTGTCCATAAATCTTGTAGGAAGGGATTATAACTTGGATCATACCAGGGTCCTTTAGAAAAAGGGTTAGCATCACCCTGGTCTTTATTGTCCACCTCAGCCGGGGTAATGTCTCCTCGTTTCCCCCCTCATGGTCAAAGGGGTCGGTTCCCTCTGCATA